AAGCCCTGATCAAAGCAGGATCAACCCCACCAAGATCACTCCGGGCACATCTCAAGCTGCATGCTCCCTAAAAATCATAGAGAATGAGTCCAAGCATAGTCTAACTCCCTGCTTAAAGTGGGACTGTCCCCAGCTAGATCATCCCCAGCACATCTCAGGCTGCATTCTCCCCAAAATCCTAGAGAATGAGTCCAAGCCCTGCTCAAAGCAGGATCGTCCCCAGCTAGATCACCCCTGACACATTTCGGACTGTGTGCTCCCTAAAATCGTAGAGAATGAGCCCAAGCATAGCACACTTCCCTGCTCAAAGTGGGACCGTCCCCAACTAGGACTCCGGGCGCATTTCACAAGTCCAAGTCCATGTCAAGGGGTCCTCACACCTGTGGCACCCATGGAAGGATCAGGCCACACTGTTGGGTGGAGAAGGCCGGGCTCCCGGCTGACCCGTGTACTAAGATGTCCTGTGAATTGGTGCAAATTGGAGTTCCCGTCTGGAGCAGTCGGGACCGGCAGCAAACAGGAGGGCACTAGCTGGTTGCTGGAGCTGGCTCACCCTGCCCAATGCCAAAAGGAAAGTGGAGGGATCTTGCCCTGAAATATGTTGCTGGAAAGGAAACAAGAGCAGCCCCGCTGGCTCACCTTACCAGGTGCTGAGAGGAAACCGGAAGGATTTTGCCCTGAAATATGTTGCTGGAAAGGCAACATGAGCAAAGGGGCAAGGACCACAGTCCTGCCCAGCTCCTCTGCTACGTGCAACAGTTCATCCAGCGGTTTTTGGTCTGTGGTGTTTTGTCCTTTTCCTTTGGGACGTGCGTGCCCATCTCCATATGCGTGCCCATCTCGGGCCAACTGTTTTGGAGACTCTACTGGCTTGCTCCAGCAAATCAGTGGTGGTAATAACCACATGAGCTCAATGGAAGCATATCAGGTACCTGGTTTACACCATATACCAGGGAGCTGCATCACTATCTCCCAAATTAAACCTCATACAGGAGGGGGATATAAGGCTGCCCTCACAGGCTGGCCAGGTTTTAACAGCTCAGTAAGGCCCCATGCCTAACCATGCCCCATAACAGGACCAAGCAGCCAGGTCACACGAGATGGTGCTGCCTTAAGGATCACAAGAAAACCCTTGCGGGGGAAAAGTATTCCACATCTGACACTGGTCACTATCAGAGGCAGGATACTGGCCTAATGGGTCATAGGTCTGACCCAGTCTGGCCACTCCATTGTTCCCGATATAGCACCACTGGAAGGGGACCGCGTTCTCAGAGCAGTTTCTGGATGCTGCATTTGTTCCAGTTCTGTAGGTTTAAATATAACTCACCTGCCACTAAAAAAACAACATTAAAAAAAAAAAATAGGAACTATGTGTTTTTCCAGTCAAGCTCTCCCCTTCTCCAGGAAACCCACACGTAGGCTTCAGGAATCTGAATCCTATCCTAAAATATTGGTTTGTTTTTTTCAACTAGGAAACAGACAGGTCCCCTGGCAGGACAGGAAAAAAATCCAGTTCAATTCCTGGAGGGGAGCAAGTTTAGGTCCAGGAGGATTAGCAGCATTTTCAGCACAGGATGAATTTAGATTCCTCCGTCCCAAGGTGATGGGGGGTGGGGACAATCGTAAGTGGGAGAGAAACTCACTGAAGCTAAACTCAAAGGAAGTCTCAGAACAAGGGCTCAGACAAGATCCCACCCAAAAATCAAAGCAAACATTACTTCTTCTGATCAGGGGTATTGAATAGCATGGCCATCAGACCAGGTGTGGTTGATTGCTCTCATGGGTAGAGCCCAGCAGGACTCCTGGGTTCTCTTTCAGGTTCTGCCACTGGGCAGCTGTAGGCAAGTCATGACCTCCTCGAGTCCCAGCACATGGGGATCAGGATGTTCTTCACCCACCCCAGGCTGTGAAGTTTGGTTAATTAGCAACTGCAAAATGCTCCTGACATCCTCCAGATTAAAAAAAAAAATCCACTTCAGAAGTGCATAGCACTGTACTAAGCAGATGAAAGACTGGCCTGATTTCTCCTCACCCTGGGAATACAGAATATTAAGTGAAGCCTATTTTTAAAAGCATGATTAAGTAAGACCCTCTCCCTCAAACCCCATTTCCAGCAAAGCCTGGTTCGCTGGATTTGCCTTCCCAGCTCAGACCCACTGAGTCTGGCGATGCTGGCAAACCCTTAAAGCTGTGAAGGGAGATGGAAATTCTTCCCCGGTACGTGCAGCTAATTGTAAAGTGCTGCCCAGGGATGCAGGAAGAGCAAACATACCACACCCAGGCACCCACCCACCCACAAGAACATGACTTGCTCAGGGTCACACAACGCACCACCAGCAGATTACCACACACAAGTTCCCTGATATTGCCAGCTCATGCTTTAACCAGCAGGCCAAGCTGCATCCTGGAGGTCAGTCCTCAGTGCAAATCTACTGACCAAGGACACGTCTCCATCAGAAGCCAGGATCCCAGACCCCCCAAATTTTAGGGGAAAACAGATCCAAAACGATCAAAAACTGCATCACCCAGTCCCACCTCTTCTATTGAACTAAAGCAAACCTTTTCTTATTGTGTACCCCCTTCCAGATTTACTAGCTGCTTGTGTACCCCTACCAGCATACGGTTTATATTTTAACCCCTTAAAATGTCAAGTATCATAATGCTGGGTTTTTGACTGTAGCCGTGTTGGTCTGGCAAAGTTATTTGAGTAGATGTGATATCTTTTATTAGATCAACTGAGTAGCTGGAAAAAAAAATTCTTAGAAAGCTTTCGGGCCCAATCACCCTTCTTCTATGCCTGACTGCACCCGAAAGCTTGCCAAGAACTTTTTTCCAGCTACTCAGTTGGTCTAATAAAAAATTATCATAATTAAAATTTAATCCACCATTACACAATTTCTCCCGCATGCCCTCCAGAGATGTCTTGCATACCCCCATGGGTATGCATACCACAGTTTGGGAACCCCTGGACTAAACCTCTTGGAGCCAGATCCTCAGCTGATACAAACCTTAAAAGTTACAGGTACAAAAGCACAGGGGTACCGGATACAAGCAGGACACCCAATAAAATAGTGACCAGGCCACCCTTTAAATCTCTTTGCTCACCAGATACTGACACTGGTCAGGCAATTTCTACAGGACTTTTCCTGTGGTTTAGTTGCTTGGCCATAAATTTCATGCCCCACCCCAGGCTGAAAGCACCGGGGTGACTCAAAGGCACGGCTTGCCATGCGATACTTGCCTAATGAAGCTTTGCTCATGCATTTGCAAGCCGATTCACTTTTAGGCTATGGAGGATGGTTTGGGGTGCTATGGAAGTGGGTCAGTTTGGCGCGCAAACTGTCTCAGGAGGATGCAGAAGACTAGTCTGCAATGTGGTCACAGCAAAAGGACATTTCCCTGGCAGCCTGAGCCACAGCTGTGCGCGCTGCACCCCCACCATTCATGATCCACCAAGGGGACAAAGGACGCATCTCCCTACTCCAGAGCCCAGCTCGTGAAGCTGCAGAGCCCACGCTCATAACTCTGGAGGCCCTGGGTCCAAGCCTGGGCATCAAGTCGCTGGCAGCTAGCCCTGTTAAACATCACAGGGAAGGGCTGAGTCATGAGTGGGAAGTAATCCCAGGGATGGGGGTTTTAAAGCAGCCCCGAAATCTGAGAGTTATTTGAGGTAGGGAAGTAATGGGACAGCTCTGATGAAGGAGGGATACAATGGAGGAAGGAGCTGGCACTTAGAAGATGAGAAGACATTCGCCACAGCATTGCTGCCAAGGTTCAGGCCTCCCCGGGCTCTGGTCTTCCAGCTGCTTCCCTCTCCATCTCTTCTTAGACAGCACAGACCCAGGTTTTAGAGGCCCTGGACACCTCCAGCTCCTGTGGAAGCCGTAAGGCACTCCAGAGGCTGAGCCCACGTGAAAAACTAGGCCTGACAAGCCGTGAGCACTAAAGCAGTCGCCCGCAGCCACAGGGATGCTCGCAGGATACCCTGCCTACCAGGCACCAGGCTGCCTCCCTGTTCCTGGCAGGGCTCTCTTCCTGCTCACAGTTATCTGTGCCCAGACTCATGGCTCAGGGGAGATGGGGAGTTATAAATAAGAGTTGCTTCCTTCCTCACCCCTACTTTAAGCTGCACGATAAATGAATGGTAGCTTCTCTCTCCTGGAGAGGAAGCGGCTGTGGGGAGGACGAGGGTGACTCAGTGCAGTAAAAGCAGAGTCATCCCCAGCTCCGAGGTGTGGCCTCCACGGTTGGCAGGGCTGCAAACACATTGCTCTCACATGCTGCAATCCATCCCTTCCTGAGCAGCCACTGAAGCTGCAGGTCCCCCACCTTTCCCAACGCCCAGGACATTCCTTGGCAGAGACTCCCCTCCACCTACCCACAAGGCACACGCCCTTTCCCAGCTCAGCTTCAGGCTTGCCCCTTTTCACACCTCTGGCATCAGTAGCCAGATGCCTTCCCTTGCCTGCACCTGCAGCCTAGCTTAGCAAAAGATGCCTTTTCTCCAGCACACTTGCCCCAGTGCAAGTGCCAGCCTCAGGGTCTGGAAAGATCCTGCATAAGGTCTGGTACCACAACCAGCTTAGGTGGGTCCAATTGATGAAGGACTGCTCTGCATGTGGAAATGATCCCTAGGAGAGGGGGAAGCTGCAGGATCAACAGACGATACCAGAAGAGCTATCCAAGGACCAGGTTAGAAACTGAATGGAGATACCTTCACATGACATCCCTTGGGATGACCGTGCCCTGCTGGAGGTGATCTTCTTGGCAGTTTCACTGCATCAAGTGAGCAAGGTGGGCTTGTCCCTTACTGCAGCTGTTGTACACCTAGCTCCCGGAGCCACGCTGATGCCACAGCTTGCCCAGATCAGCAGCTGAAACCTCTGCCCCAAGCAGCGTGTGTATGTGTATATCTCGAGTGGAGCGGGGAGGAAGAAGCCATGGGATTGAAACCAAACTAACACAGCATGAACTGGCAGCAAGAGGAGACTTGTATTCCAGCCTTGGCTCTGCCATCTGGCTCAGTGGGTGACCTTATGGGAGTCACTGCTCTCCTCCATCCTTTGGTTTGCCCATCTGTAAAAGCAGTGGACAATGACACAAGGTGAGCGGTGGGGGTGTTAGATGTTACCGCCCCAGCTAAGGAGCTCTAGCCCTGCAGCTCAGTGCGGCACAGCACCTGGAGCTCTCCAGCATAAGCTTGATAGCTACCACCTTGACTGCCACACACCCAATGCCATGAAGCAAGCTTAGTCTGTAGCCTCTGAACTCCCACTAGCAGTGCCCGAGGCACCAGCCATCCCAATGAGAGCAGAGAAAGGGCAGGCCACATCTTCCCAAGAGGGAATAGCAGCCACCTGACCTCCTTCTTGGGGCAGCTCAACACAGAGCCAAGGCCCCAGCCACCCCAACCCTCTGGTGCAATGCATCAACTGAACAACCAGCCTGATTCACAGGGCCACAGACCGCTGGGCACTCAAGGGGGAAGCAGACTGCAATGCGAAAAGTGAAAAATTACTGCAGCCGCCTTTGTTTTGAGAGTAAAGAGCGGAGACACTGAGGGCCTTGTGTCCATGGCAAAGTCTGAGAGGACGGAATTCACTGGAGATAAGGGCACATAAAGGGGGGATTCTTAGGCTTCGAGACAAATCCTCTCCCCTCCTCCCTCCCACCCCCTTGGCCTTGGTCCCATTCTGACCTCAGCTGCCCCTCAGGAATACAGCACAATAGAAGGAGACTGGGTTGTGTGTGGAGTTTTTCATGCCAACCACATCCTCTCTCCCGCCCGGAAAGAGCAGCACGGGGAGAGAGAAGAGGCAGGCCAGTGTGGATCCTGCTCCCAAACTTGTAGCCCCTGAGATTCAAGAGTCCCCAGTTGAGGTCTGACACCAGGGTGGAATGACTCAATAAAGCCCGTTTCAGACTAGAAAGGGCTGCAGGGACCAGTGATCTTGCTCTAGCAGTGGGGATGCTATGTAGAAGACAGAGGCAACCTGTGTTTGATGATGGGAAGAAGAGAGAGGGGACAGGAGAGGTTCAAAAAGCTGAATCCTGTAGCCAGACCCAGGCTGTGGAGACAAATGACCAGGCCACACAAGCAGCTGGCCAAGCACGCTTTGCCTCCCCATCTAGCAGCAGACCCGGTACAGGAGACAGCAGCCCCATGCAACTTCCATATAACTGAATTTCTCCTTTATGTCAAGAGACAGAGACCTGCCTTGCTTCAAGATTAAAGACCACAGGTTTGATTCCTGCAGACTGCTACCTGCAGAAACTTGGTATCAATATTCCCAAGGCCACACTCAAGAAAATGGGTCTCTTCTTTTTTTAAGGATGACTCAAGCATATAATAATGCTTGAGTTTCCTTGTCCAGCATATAATAAATGTCCCATGGTCACTTAATTAAAACAGAGACAAGAGTTTGTTCCCTTCTGATTATCCCATCTGCTCCTATGGTGACCAATAACGTAGGATGTATAGCATCCTACAAGGCCATTTGCATGGCCACATGCCCTGGACAAATAACCAGCAGATTTGAGGATCTGGGACAGAGTCTTCTAGGCCAAGTACAGACAGTCATAAAGCTCAAGGCTGAATCAATTCAGTCCTTGCAGGTTAGATATTAAATTGAGAAACAACTGGACACACATTCACTTTTGATTCAGGAAATGCAGCCACATACCCACAGTGGCTCAGGCCTGAAGTCTGGGGGGTGCTAGAGTACGGCTCTCTGGCAGGTAGCCACCATGGGCTGGGTGTTCCCTCCTTCTTCCTGCTGTCCCCGAGGTCCCTAGGATTTGCAGTCCATAAGTCACATCAGCAGGACTCTGCAGGGTTTCTTGCTGCTTCCTCTTCCAGGTGCCTCTGGGATTTGTAGCCCACAGTCACAGCCAGCAGTAAGTTTAGCAGGTTGGAGCAGCAATGTACTTGGGGGAAGTGAAGTTTAACCTCACCTCCCTGACCCCAGCCAGGGTTTGCCTGCGCACGGGGAGGGGCACAGTCCCTGCCCCCCCGCAAAACCCTTCTCTGCTGGAGCAGACAGCACAGCCCAGCCCAGCCCAGAGCTGGAAACCATGCTTGGCAGGGGGAGAGACTGCAATTTAACTTGAACCAGGAAGGGGTCTGGGACAAGAGTTTCATAAGCCAGTTTGACCCAAATCAGTTAAGTCTGATACTACATTCAACCAGATTTATCTTAAATTAGTTTCAGCCATTTTGAAATTCGTTTATGTGCACTGAATGCCCTTCTGTTACAGGTTTAAACTAGTTTCCAATTACTTAAACTGGTTTGTATGTAACTTCTGTCCCTAGCCCTACGGTACCCAATTACTTTGGGTCATTTGTACCTCCAGCATGAAGCAAGCAGGTAAAGAAAAAAAATTCACACACATCTATGAACCTGCTAACAAAGCTTGCTGCCATCTCATTCAGTTCTTTTCTCCCATTGATTTCCATGCTGGAATGACCTTGTGCATGTCCTACAGGCAGGGCAATCCAAGGCAGCCTGGTGCCTCATTCCATGGTGTACGACTGACCATGGGCCATCTGAGCTTGGGATGGTCCTTCGACTCATCTTCCACCACAAGTTTAATAGCCATTTTACAGGGGATACCACAGCTCTAGGGAAGAGCAAGGAAGCTTTTCCTGCCCTGCCATCTACTTACCGAGCCAGGGGAAAGTTCTGAGCAATTCCTAACCCATCCTCTGTGGGCCTGAGCAATAACCTCTCCCCATCATCCTCATCAAGGTGCTACTTGGACACCAGCACACAAGCCTCCACCACTTGAGCTGTAGGAGTCTCGCCATGAAAGCAGCAGTAGTATACAGTTCTCTTCTACTTGAACTAGCCACTAGAGAGATCCATCACACATGCTTCCACTATTTTCCTCTGTAATTTATACTACCATGTCCTGAAAGTCACTTGCTAGAAGCACTTGCCAGTGGATAGCTTAATGGAAACTGGAAGTAAGATGATCTAGCTGCGGTCAGGAAATGTAGATCAACTTCCCTAGGGGAAATCATGAGAGAAAGCACATAATGGGGTGAAATTAGCAGCTGAAGAACCAAGAGCCAGAACTGGAAGTTACCTCCCCACAGCACATAGGGTTAAGTGAATTCAGCACTAAAGACATGCTGTTCTTAGGTTTAAAAGTATAGTCCGTCCCCTCTCCATTGAGTTCTATGCAAGCAGCAGGTACATTTCCATAGCTGAGCCAATAACCTTCCCTGGGGAAATTTAAGCTTTTTTATGATTAAAAAGGGGAAAAAAAAAAAAATAGTAGTGGGGAATTAAATATAGCCCGGAACAAGAGAACAATTAGCAGCTGCCATTAACGACATTCAGGCCAGGGTTGGGACAAGTGCCCACAGCTGTGTGGAAAGCAACAGGGCTAAGGGGGAAGCAGCCATGCATTAAGCAACTACGATCGGAAATCATAGCCAGCTTCTTTTGGCATGTAGATTCGTTCAGCCCCTGGCCGGGCCGGGTGGGTGGATGAACCAATGGAGTCCACGCAGGGAACTGCCAGGGCACATGGGCAGCTTGCCCAGACCCAAATGACCACACCTAATTGGCATGAGTATTTTACATCATTTTTATCAGAAGCAAACACACACAATCATAGTATTTGCTTGTGCTGGTAACTTCCCCGATAATCAATTTCTAATTTACCTGTTGGGCAAGTGCATTTCGGGGACGGCTGCATGGTGATAGAGCCACGGACCCCATCCTGCTAGAAAAGCAGGGAGCAGCCTGCACGGGGACAGAGCCATTGTGGGGAGGAAGCACTCAGACTCTCTGCCCTACAACAGACAATTCCTCCCCCCTACCCCTTTTTTGAGGCTTGGGAAGTTTCAACTCAACTCAGCCCAGCCCAGCCACTTATCTGAGTGGGTAGCACCCAGCTGAAGCACTGCTTGTGGACTGCTTGCTTCACAGCTGCCCATGTGAACAGCCAATTGCCCCTTGGAATCACAGATAAACAGGGCCTAAAGGGACCCCAGGAGGTCCGGTCCAACCCCCTGCTCATAGCAGTATCATCCCTGCCTAACTCATCTCAGCATGTCTGTATTTGTCCCAGCTCTTGCTCCTAGCTTTGCAACCTGGTTCAGTTACCACTCCTTTCATGGACCCCAACATAACCAATTCACAGAGCCTATAGCAGGCTTCTCCCCCTGTGCTCACTGACCTTTGTCCCAGCCCAGCAATGCTCACGCAAGCGGTCAGCACAAACCACAGCCACCACAGCGGATGCATCCTTCGCCAAGTTGTGCCAGATCTACTCCAGTGCATAAAGACAAATCAGGCTGGAGTAATTAACAGTTGTACCACAGCCGATAGGGATCAGCAGCACTCACTTTGTATTCCTCATTGCAGGAGAGACAGATTCAAGGCAGGCAGCTAAGAAAGAAAAAATAAAACACTTAAGAGAAATGTTCTACCATGAACAGCTCAGGAGCCACTTGTAGCTTAGGAGCTAAGGTCTGGGCAAAAATCACTGTGAAAATCAGAGTCTCTTAAGCCAGCCTGGTTGCTTGCCTTATGCCTAGGACATAAAATAACATTATCTTGTCTTCCCTCCTCTTTTTTATTCATCATTTCCCCTGCCCCAATTTGCACTTCTCTCACATCTTGCCTTTTTTCCCCCATCCTTATAGAGCCCTTTTTTTTTTTTGGCTGTCACCTTCCCTCTTGTGCCTTTTCTCCTCACCTTCTCCCACCCACAAATTGCAAATGTATGTAAGAGAGAAGCTTGATTGTACCCTTCACCACCCAGTACCCCTTGGGGACATATCCACCAAGACACCAACATCCCAGTTCCAGCATCTCCTGCCACTCCCAGAGCTCCCTCTCAATCCTCATCAGCCAGCCCTGCTCTTCCCAGCAGCAACTCCCCATGCTTTCCCCCTAGAACTTACCTCCCCATCCTGAGCTGCTCAGCAGACAGCCCTCTCTGTGGCTTTCTCTGGCTCCACAACTCTGGCACTCTCTGTTAGGAGAAGCCACCAGCAAGCTCCTTACCTGTCCCTCCAGCTCCTCAGCCGAGGGACGCAACCAAGCCATCCCTTCTCGTAGTCTTTTCAGCTCCAGCCACCACTGGCACCAGTTCCTTGTTGTTTGCTGAGGAACCCACCAGTTCTTAACAAATCCCAGTCCCCTTCCTCTTCCAGAAACTCCTGCAAAAGTCTAAATCCCCCTGCTCCCTCCCTCTCTTACCCCCAGGTGCCACCCACCCTCCTAATCTAGACCAGCTGGGGCACAATTTCATGTTACAGGGGAGCTAGACATGGTTTGCATCAAGGGGCCAGCTGCCCCATGACACCATATTTCAACAGCTCTCCTCTCACTTCTTGCAGGTTGGTTGTTTTCAGACTGTAAGATTTTCAGAGCACAGGTTGCTCTTAGGGCAATCAGCCTTCCTAGGTGAATCGGGATGCTATTGTGATATAAACAACAGCTGGAGCAATGTAGGGCCGGCCATTCTGGATCAGACCAGAGGTCTGTCTGGTCCAGGAGGCTGTCCTTGAGGACTGACAGTGTCAGATGCTTCAGCAGAAGATTCAAGAAACTAAACAAAGAAGAAGTCCTAAAGTAATCTGCTCATATTTCTTTCTGCAGTCCCAGGCAGTTGGCATGAGAGTTTACCACCCATTGCCTATTTAGGTCTATGTTTTCCAGAGTGCCCAGGGGCACCCTTGGAGATCTGTCTGCTTATCTTGGATCTGAGCTCTCTTGAAAATCTGACCCTTTGCATCTGGGATGACATCTGGAAAGAAAACCAAGGCCCTCTCCTCTTAACGGGGCTCTGACCTGGAGGGCAGAACAGCACTGGATGTCACCAGCTCTCCTGCCTCCACCGAGAGATTGATGACCATGTCAAGCAGCATTTCCTCTAAACCCAAAAGGCCCAATGTGGACCCTTCTGCCTGGACTGCATTCAATGCACAATTGTGAATGAAACAAACCTTATCAGGGAGGGGGCAGGAAGTGCACTCCAGTTGCAGCTCGTACGTGCAGGCAGCGGGCACTGTGCCCACCTCAGGAGATTGCCAGAGGCTGGCAGAGCTCCAGCAAAGGAGCATGGTCCAGTCTAACTGCTTAGGGCTCAGGAAGGTGCTGTTCTGATCACAGAGGCTAAGGGTTAAATGCAACACAGGCCCAGCCTTATATGAGCTAAAGAAGGTGGCACCTTGAGAGAGAGCTGTTCTCAGCTGGACGGACCCCATTAAAGGGAGTATTGGTGGCTGGTGCATGTAGGGAAGCCTAGAGACTGATCTTAGAGATGCCAGGGATGGGTCATGGGCTTGCATGCAGCAGCATTTCAAGGTCAGCTAACACTCGGTGAAGGAGAGAAGAGCAGAAGGAACCCATTTCCCCACCAAATCTCTTTGGCTATGACATTTTGTGTCAAACAAGGTAGCTGGAAACTCTCTCCCTCCCCAGTAGTTTTTAATACAAGTTAACACTAAACAGGTTAATGACAGCCTGGGGCAAGATGACCACATGCTTTGCCACTTTAAAGAGGAACTTGGGTTAGGAAAGGGGCCACCTTTTGTGGGTCCCAACATTGGCTGAGTCGCTGCCTCACTTCAGTGACCCTGGTCATGACCCTTGATCCCTGGTGCATCCTCCTGAGATACTGGGGGAAGGCTGGCCAGATGTGGGAAGCTCGAGGGCAGAAGCAGTTCCTGCAAGTGAATTCATCTTCCCCCAGGCAATGAAGCACCAGGGATAACTGTAGTTAAACAGTCCTCCCCACAGAGAGCTTTGCCTCTAAGGTTTGCCTTTGGGATCTGCTTTATGGACCTGGTAGATGGGAGGATAAAAGAAAACGTGTCTCAGGAGCAAACAGGCTGATACACCTGTTTTCTGGCATGAGGATCAATGGAGCTGTCCTATGTAACAGGAATTGCTCCAATGGGAGAGTAACTGCTGCAGCAGGCATGTACTGGAGGGGATCAAAACGCAAGAAGGTGCCCTCCAGCCCGGCATGTGTGGGGGACACACTTGGATTTCACCCAGGCTGGACAAGGAAAGCCACTACTTGCAATGATGGAGTGAGCCTCAGCTTGCTAGATCTATCCGAGTGTCACTGACCCAGCATCTGGCCCCAGGTAAACTCTCAGAGACAAGGCCTAGATAAGATGTCCAGCTCCCAGCATAGCCAGTTTTGTCACTGGATTTGATGAGATCAGAGCAGGGACCTGGTACCACTTGCCGATACTCTTTCTCTGCTTCTTCATGGTCCCAGGCTCCTGGTGCCTGATCCTGTGCAGTGCTGAGGACATGGCAGGACCTGGAGGATCAATCTTGGGGCTAAGAGTCAGGCAGACCTGAGTCCTAGCCCCAGTTTTGAGCTGTGTGGCCTGAGGCAGGTTTCTTCTCTTTTGTGCCTCAGTTTCCCATTCTAGCATGGGACCACACTACTTACCACACAAGAAAGTTGAGGACTAGTTAGCTCAGCTTTGTCCAGGCCTTGACACACGGAGCTGTCTATACCATAAGCATGTGTAGCCATTCCTCCTGGAGACCATTCCTTCAGGGCCCCCCAGGCAAGCTGTTGAAGAGGAGCTTGGAAATATTGCCAGCTGGCAGGGAGAGCCTAGCATGCGATTAGGGTAGAGACACAGCCAGACACCTCCCATGGCAGCAGGGGAGGTGAGTTATTGCCATTACTGATGGGCCTAGACTGACATGGCTCTGCAGGGCATGTTAAACATCCTTCCCTGTCACCCAGAGCAGCCACCTGGGCTCCCCTCCTTCTCCCCTGGCATGGCTTGTTGCTGGGGGAAGAGTGGGCAGAGGCTGAACTATAGCAGTGAGTGTCTGAATGTCCCTCCAGCTCTTCTCTAATAAAGGAGTATGCACGATCGTCTCAAGCCTCCTGCAGCTGCCTGGAGGGAGATCACAGGCTGGCTCTGCTCCCTGAGCAGCTCAGGTGCTGCCTTGGTCAAACAAGCATCAACACAGGTGAGGCCAGCCCCACCCAGAGCTGGAGGAGCAAGGGGAGGGGGCACCATTTTCAGAGCACCAGTTGCAAGATCAAGGGCAGAGCCTGCTGGAAAACCTGTCCAGCACAGATGTGCACCAGCCTTTTGGAAAGGAAAGGCCAATGTTAACCCCCCCGCAATGGGGTGACCCTCTCAGTGCCCTCTGGCAGGACATGTTGGCATTATCTTGGGGTCAGGCGGCACTGTGCCTCCTGTGCAGATGGCTGGCTGGCAGCGATTCAGATTTCCCAAGTGGTGCCAATCAGCTTCCCCACCCCGCACCCCACTGACTGGTGAGAAAAGAACAAGTTCCCACTTGATTCCCGTAGGAAATAACCCCCACCCTTTCAGGCCTGGCTTCTCCAAAGGCAGCCTAGCCTGTAATTAAAGGGGTGGGGTGGGTTTCACCACTTGGAGTTGCCCTGAATTGATATGCTCGGAGCGCTTTCACCTGCTTCCCACTGAGAGGCTGTTCAATTCAGAGAAAAGCAGGAAGCTGTAAATAAAAGGACCGGTGTACACTAGTGCCCGCTCAGTCCTCAGTGGTGTTCCCCATCCCTCTCTGGCCCATCTGATCCCTGCTTGCTTACCGCAGCGCAGTAATGGAGATCTGTGCATTAGTGAGAAGCTCTGGTCCATCTCAGGAATCTGCTGTGTATTTGGATCCCAGGTGAATTGAGACCAAGCAGGTCCAAATCCAGTCCCAAGCAGAGACAACAGCTTTTCTCCTTCACTGGTCCATTTTTCCT